ACGTGCTATTGGCACGAACGAAGAGTCGCGCTCAGACGCGCCAGAGAATTCCCCAAGGCAAGTCGCACCTAACGGAGCAAGCCCAACGGATCCTCGCGCCCGCGGACGCGCCTAAGAGCAGGACGCCCGCGGAGAAGGCCTGACCCCGCCAAGGGCACCTTCTACTTCGCGACAAAGTATAACGACTCCATGAGACAAGACAGATGCTCAGAGCATTATCACCTGAACCAATCGTTGGCTCTGACAGATCAAGGAGCACGATTACCCAATCAGCATCCTCGATCATGTCGGGTCTGACGCCTTTGTCCTGTACGGACTAGCAGAAGGCCTCAGTATAAAATGCCTTCTCCGGTACCTTGGAAAGTAAGTCGCTCTCTCTCAGTTCACTCTAGATTATACCCAAGTCTATCTATTGACTTGACCGTCAGAGTGTTTTCCTGGGAGCCCCCTCCCGGAGAACGGCTGACGGCTTCTTCCTGTTGTGACCTTGCAGACTCATCGGAACAATCAGAGGCACAAGGTGTAATCGTCAGGTGACCAGGTCGCATTAGAGACCTTATAGGATAACATATGGCAAAAGAAGAATAAACATTCTTATATATATATATATATATTCTATAATATAATATATATATATATATATCTATATATATAAGGGGAGGCTAAAATGACCACACCTAAAAGGTTGCGAACGCGAGAAGTTCTGGACCATCATTTTATAGGGTATATTAGTAACTTTATATAAATATTAATTAATGATTTCCTAAAATCTAGGGATAACGATTTTAATTACCTAAAAAAAATTAATAGTTCTTTTTAGTTAATGGAGTATATATAAATATTTTTTTTATGACTTTTCCTAAAAATAATTTATGACCGTTTTTTTTCTTTAAAATGAAATCAGTACAACTCAAATCACAAATGAACCCACTTTTATTTACGATCCCATTTTAATACACTTCTGTTCACAATCACAAATGAATATACACTGTTATTCACAAATATCACAAATGGATATTGTTTTAATCACAAATGAATATAACAAAATAGTATATAAATTACATCTAAAAGAAAAAGATAAACACAAATATATGTTCATTATCATTTATTCAGCCAAGATACAAACACCTCTAATCAACATTGAATACATTTCAATCACAAATGAAATATACTTCTAATCAAAAATGAAATTACAATACATAAGTTAGTTTTTTTTCTATCAGCACAAAAGAATACATATATGAAACATCAAGCTCCATTTTCTTGAAAATTTGCTTCCAATTGATTTTTTGTTTCCTTCTTTCTTCTCAATGGACCTAACACAAAAATCACTAGATTAATTCATCAGTTTTAACCTTTTATCAACCACCATTTTCTATGAAGTATGAAAATTTTTAAATAGATATGATCTTACTTTGACCGTTAGTAGAAATTGGTGAGATTGAAAACCATATCTTTGAGTAATTGGTGTTGGTATCTTCTTTAGTATCCAAAACTACATCAAGTGTTATAATCATTAATGCATCAAAGTGTTATAATCATTAATGATTATAACTCAACGCTTACCTCTTGATCTCTGGATCTCTAGTAATCATTAACGATTAATGATGCTGGTGCTTTTGCATTTTGTAGTGCATCCAAATCTTGTTTTTATCGTCTTATGCTACCCTCTTGATCTATATGTCGCTTATATCTATGAGTTAGAGTGAGAATCAACCAACTTTGATTTATGATTTTCTGCTAGTATCCCCAAAAACTTTTAAAAAGAGAGAACACAAAATCCATTGTTCATTATTTATTTTTTAATTTCGTCCTGGTAATCAATGTCATAAAGGGGTGTGTATTTGATTTTCTTCTTGCTGTTATCGAGTACACACAGAGATACAGAAAATCGGACCCCGATCAACGGTAAAAGGAAGAGTTGTAGACTTTTATAATAGACGCACATGCACCGTATTATAACAAAACTCACTTCTTTTTTCGTTTAAATTTTTTTTAGGCAATGTTTTTGTCGAAAAAAAAACGAATATACTCTTGTTCATGATTTTTCGTCCTCTTTCTATAGAGATTAATATTGATATACAAAAATATTTTTTTTTCAAAAAAAACTCACTTCATTTCTTTGTTTTTTGAAAAGTCAAGACCTATATTTTATCGAAAAATTTAATAAATATTTCAAAATTTATATTTCTTAGTACTCTTTAAATATAGTTTCGTATTGATGTTTAAAAAAAAATTCAGTACAGATTTACATTGTGAATCTGCTCAGATTCACAATGTAAATAATAGTAAGTTAGATTCACATTGTGAATGTTAAAATTGAAATATTTACAGTTTAAATTCATAATGTGAATCTGAACTAATCGAGTTTTTTTTTAATCGTTGATGATGTTTATTAATAGAGAACAAAAAATTGAGATTTTTGTTATAATTGTTTTTTTTTAATAAAAATAAACTTAAATATTGAAAAAAACAACAAAACGAAGTGAGTTTTTTTCGAAAAAAAAGGTTTGTTTTTTATAGATCCACATTGAATCTATGGAAAGATGACGAAAAATCATAAACAACGGTATACTCCGTTATTTTTTCGATAAAAAACGTGACTTAAAAAAATTTTAAACAAAAAAAAGGTGGGCTTTTTTGTAAAACGGTGGACTTTATAGTATAATCTAGTGTATGTGCGTCCAATTTACAAATGTACATCCATTTATTGGCTGTTAATCGCTTTAAATATATATATATATATATATATATATATATATATATATAATATAAATTTAATAATTTGCATTAAAATATAGTGTCGTTTATGTTTGGTCGTTTACGTGTCAAAATTGAAATTTTTTTCACAAAAGACGTTAAATTTTCACTTTTCTCAATTTTGACATTAGTTTTTTTTTTTAATTTTATTTTTCAATTTTGACACTCTATTTTTTTTTCAATTTTGTTCAATGTTGACCATTTTCCATTTGAAACCGTATAACTTCTTTTACATTTGAAACCGTATAAATACATTTTTCTCATCTAAAAACCATATTTTTATATAAATACAAGGTTTTTTTACATTAAAACCATAATGTTATGTGTAAATATGTACTAATTATATTGTAACCGTTTTTTATATTAAATATACAACTTTAAAATGAGTTTGGAGGTGTGTAGTGCACAGTCAGATAAATTAATTTGATATTGGGTACATGAGGGTCTAGTGTTCGTTTTAATTATCAAGAGACCGTTCGTGGTATATATTTACTTCTTCATTTAACATTACAATGCAAATATCTTCTATCAAATAACATCAAACAAAACAATTTATTATATGTTTCTGAATTTTAGATTTTGAATGAAATTCTAATTAAGTTTTCTTGGATTATCCGAAATATGTATTTGTTATATTATAACAAATACAATTATAATATAACTAATACATATTTATTCATAACATTATGGTTTGAATGTATAAAAAAACATTATATTTATACAAAATATGGTTTTTAAATGAAAAAAAATGTATTTATACGGTTTCAAATATATATATATATATATATATATATATATATATATATATATATATATATATATATATATATATTTATACGGTTTCAAATGGAACAAAAAAATGATGTCAAATTTGAAACAAAAAAATAAAGTGTTGTGTCATCAAAGCTGAACAAATTTGGAACAAGAAAATTGAGTGTCAAAATTGATAAAAAGTGAAAACTTAGTGTCAAAATTAAAAAAAAAATGAAAATTTAGTGTCTTTTGTAACATTTTTTTTTCAATCTTAACACGTCAGCATGTCACGTCATCAAAAACTGACATGTCATCATGCCACGTCAGCAGACAACCGGGTTGATCGGTCAAGTGGTCAGAATTGTGATAAATTGAAAAACACGATGTCAAATTTGAGGAAAAAAAGACACTGTCAAATTAAAATTTTGGTGTAACCTTAGTGACTTTTGTGTTATTTTCCCTTAGATAATTAAAAAAAAAATATATTGATTTTCTATAATAAATACCTTCACATTATATAAATTTATAATAATTAATAATTTGTTTTTTTAATATGGTATATTTTTAATTATTTAAGATATCAACCGATAAAACAAATAAGAGTTATCATTTGAAATAAAATTATAAATTTCTCAAATTACGGTAATTTTATATATTTTTTGGAATGTATTGTAATTTTGGAAAGCAAATCGTAAAAGTCGACCAAACCAAATTGTAATTTGTTTGATTCAAATTCAGTTTTAATTTACTTTAAGATTATTCTAATTATTTTTTTTAAAGCCAAAATTAATTTGGGATTCACTTATTGGATCCCGACCCAATCAAACAAGCGCCTCTATTAAAAACAGAAGATGTGTTGAAGTGGTCACCATCAACTTCTTAGTTGCATATGTTTCTTGGCTTCAATCATGGTTGCATAGCTGTATGATATCCAACATTGATTCTCCTTTTATTTTTTTTATTTTTATTTTTATTATAATGTTTATTTTTGTGTGGGGATGGATGTTTGGCACCCATCTAAAATTTTGGAAAGATAATAATAATTTATAAAATAGGTAGCTTTACTTCTTTATGGCAGCTTTCCTTCAACGTTTTGTTTTATATTAATGGAATGTGACATGTTTCCCCTCCTTCAATTATCACTCCCATATGATCAAATTGGGTAACGTATGTGCTTCACACTATCTGAGTGGGCTCTTTATTCCCCAACAATCTTTGATTTGGCATGTAAATCATGTATAGTTGTATACACTACATGATAAGAGTCTTATGATCCCATTTAATTAGTACTGAAATTTAAACTCTCAAACCTCATATGTTTCTTTAAAGATACAACATTGAAAGCAACTTTCCACAGTTTTCTCATTGATTAACACAAAACCCAAATCGACCCCGCATGAGTTTTTGTTTTTGTAAAATAATACAAGGGAAAAGTGAAAATATTATGCTTTAAAAAAGGACCAATAGGTCATAGTTGTCGTGGCTCTCCAAGACAACAAAGGCCCATCCATGCTTTTAATTTCTTATAAGGCTTTCCTCATTATATTTCTTATGGCTTCTCCAGGCAACAAGTAAGGTATAGTATTCGTCAAGTTAGGCATCGCATCAAGTATCATTGCATACTGTGAATTGTCTTGTGCTTTCTTCGAGTTAACATATAATACAATCATAGTGGAGTCTCGTGTGCTCATCTCTATACAAGAACAAAGCCCTTCATTCTTGAAAAACTGAAACTCGATCGTGTAACGATACACCGGAGGTACACGAGTAGTGGGGTCTCAGACAGTACACCATCATCTTTCTTTGGAAAACGGGTAACTAAATCGACTCTGTCTTAAAAACAATATTTTTTCTCGTGTTCCTAGGACACGAGATTTGGGTTTGTTGGGAACCAGAACAAATAAAAAATGGTTCTGATTCCCAACAAGTTTTTTTTTGAAGTGATGGAAAGGTCCCGTTTTCGCATCTATTTTTCTGGGTTATTGTTGCATAGCCATGTAAAGTTTAATACTATGTTTGGGAAGATTTTTACATTTTTAGCGATTTGATTTTGCAGGAGAATGGATGAGTTCAGTACAGAAAGATCAAAGGCATGGAACATGTACACGGATTCACCACATAGCCCGCCTCAAACAGGAGGTGATGGTGAAGGTCCATGGAAGAACTTTGGGACATCAATGAATGCAATTTCTTTTGGTTTTGTTGCTACTGCAGTTTTAATATCAATGTTTCTTATAATGGCAATATTTGAACATCTTTTTAGACCAAATGTTTCATTCCCTTTACCCCAACATGGCACCACTCACTCTCTTCCTGAGGGCTCGAGGCCTATGCAAAAGCTCGCAAATCCACAATCACATGTAAGTTTGCATCTTGAGATGCAATGATGAGTTGTATCTGATAGATATGTGGAGTCCTAAATGTTCTTTCCGAAGAACCCATGTAGGACTCAAGCACTATATTACAACCCATCATTGCAAAAAAGTGGTTATAACACTTTTATTTTACATGGTACAATCCATTATAGCAGACCATGACTTCATTTGTGACAGGTACAAGCTGCTTATGCATCGGATTTTTCGGTATTGATGCCGGGCCATCAGTACCCTACCTACATTGCACATTCAGCACCTCTACCTTGCTCAAGGGAAGGAGCGCAATGGCCTTCTCATCAACAACATAATTGTGTATTTCATCCGTAGAAATTATTTTGTGTATTAAATACTTGTACATAAGGTGAACTTCTCTTATGAGAAAATACAATACTTAATTTCAACTTTCTTCGGTATCAAAGACCAACCATTTTCTCATGAAAATTTCATGAAACACTAGAATTTTGGCTCATTAATTAGGAACATTTCATGGTTGTTTTACATTATAGGTTTTGTTTAATGGTTTATCCCTAGCTTTTCCGGTAAATTGATTATTTGTTCCATTCTAACAAAATATAATATCAAGCTCTGTTTTTTCATTAGAGCATGTCCAAATATACTCTAAGGCATGGAGCGGAACCAAAAAAATGCCTTTCGAAAAACATATTTGAAATAAATTTAAATAAAAATTCCACCACTTATGAACTTGGACATCTCGAATAAATTTCGAGTTAAAGTTAAAAAATACTGGTTTAAGCAAGAAAAATGTAAATAACAGTATAAATCAAATTTTCTTGTAGATGAAACAGTTTTGGAATCTTTATCAGAAAAGCAAAATAATTAGTAGGTATCGAACCACTCATATTTAATTTAAAGCCAGGATTCCAAGCCACGTTTTTTGAAATTGAATTAAACTTGTATAAATTAATCTTATTTAACAAATTTTGTCATGTAGACAGCGACATGGATACTATTTTGGCAAATAACTTGGAAATTGTCAGTTTTCTAGCTATAGTTCATCCTAAAGTAGACGCATGTGTGTGTTGCATAAAACTGAAATTAAATTGTTAAAAATAAGAAAGACAGTGTAATAAACTTTAACTTCTTGTATAGTTGTATGCAAATAGAAAAATGTTGGGGGGCATTTTGGCTGTTCAGGCATAGTGTAGGGTTTTAGAAGGAGAGATGTGGACAGATGGTATCGAAGTTAATGAGAAACAAAAAAAGTGAACCTGACGTGAATCGAACACGCAACCTTCTGATCTGGAGTCAGACGCGCTACCATTGCGCCACAGATCCTTCTGTTTATACTTATAGTTTCATATAACAAATAGACAAAAAAGCAGTTTTCACTTACACACCATTGATGTGCATTTGATGAAATCTGGTTTATTTCTCTACCCAACAAACGACCGGATTTAAAATCGATATGAACCGGATAAAAACTTCCGGTTTGCCAACTTTTCTGTTTGAAAACCCTATCTTCCCTACCAAAACCCCAAGATGTGCATTTTTTTTTCTCTGCTCAAATATTCAGTGTACTTTTTGTCTCACTGATTCGTCTCCGACTTCTTTAAATCCTGATTTTAAGTATTGGCTCTATTTTGTTTCTGTAGGAGGCGATCGTTTGTTCCTTAAGCAATGACGCTGGTGAGTTTTTCGTTCCTTATTGCGCTAGTTTTGATTCCTTACTGTGTTAGTTTTTATTAGTACATGATTTTTTTGTGCGTAGTTTGCGATGGATCTTTGTTTGTATATAGAAATTGTGCGGATTACGGTATTGATGTGCATTTTGTTCGTTCCTTTTGTTTTCGCTTACTGATTTCAACTTTATCGCATTGATCGTGATATGAAGAACTCACTAAAACTATTGTACGATTTGCCGGTTGCTTTGTTCATTTTCATAAGTTCTATGAATAATTAAAGCTTTAAACATGATTACAAAATTCATAGTAGTTTAATAATTATCTATTTCTTTCAACAAAAGCACTTATAAGGTTTAATGCATTTGACTTTGTACACGATCAGCTTGTATTTTAGCATATTTTAATTTTACCTGATTAAACTATAACCTTGATCGACATATATATTTTTAAAATGGGCTAAGAACACCTAGTGGATACTGTATATGTTTATATAATTAAGTTACACGTTTTTACCACAGTATGCAATGAAGTGGATTGCTCCATGAATTGTTAAAAGTTGGCAACAAACCAACAAGTTGAAAGTCTGTTACATAAATTGGGAAGAAGCCCTTTGCTTTGCATAAATTTAAGTATGTTGCATAAACAAATCATTAACTCTTAATTAATAGTTGGTATTAGGTTAAGGATATTTATGAAATGTTTTAGCTTTATTCAGAACGTTAATCATGGTTATATATACTTTATTTTAACCTTATGATTTCTCTGGTTAGTTATAGTGGCATAACCTTACCTTTCCAAAGTTTTCAAGTCCGTGTATTTTACAACAAATTTAATAAACTTCTGTTAATGTTGCCTATTCTTTTATGCTAATTTGTAGAGATGTTTTAAAATCAGATCTATTAAATTTGAGATTTTATTGTTTGTTTGCGATCATTTGATAGATGTATTGTGCTTGTTGCAGATTATACATGCGGGATCCCACAACAAGAATGTTTTCAAGACATTAATTGCTGCAGAATATGTTGGTGTTGAAATCAAAATGGCTGAAAATTTTCAGATGGGTGTGTCAAATAAGACTCCTGAGTTTATTAAAATGAACCCCATTGGAAAGGTATTGTTTTTTTATTTATAATCCGATTAACACTTTTTACAGAATACAAACTCTTATTTTATCTTTTACACACTATGATTCATCATTAATGCAGGTTCCTGTCCTCGAGACTCCTGATGGCCCTATATTTGAAAGTAATGCAATTGCTCGCTATGGTGAGGAATCAAATAGCCATTGTTTTCAATCTTCTTTTGATTTTGAGTAAATGAGCTTACTTTGTTATCTTGGTTGCTGTAGTTGCTAGTTTGAAGCCTGAAAGTTCTCTCTTGGGGTCTTCACTGATAGAATATGTAAGTTCTTTTTTGTTATTTTCTCATTATCAAGGAATAAAGATACATATAATGAATCTTATCTTTTTTTTTTTTTCAAAAAAAATATATATGCAGGGTCAAATTGAACAATGGATAGATTTTTCTACATTGGAGCTTGATGCTAATTTGAGAGGATGGGCCATGCCAAGAGTTGGATATTCCCCCTATATCAAACCTGTTAGTCAGAAACTTCTATTCCTCAAAGTTTAATTTTATATTATTTTTTTGTTAGTTTACTTTAATATGTCTTTTACATTAGTATTTTTGAAATTGTCCAAATGATAAATTTGTGTGTGTGTGTGTGTGTGTGTATGATTTGAAGGCTGAGGAGAGTTATATATCTGGTGTGAAAAGAGGTCTTGGTGCTCTAAACACGCATCTTGCTTCACGTACTTTTTTGGTTGGTGATTCCGTGACTTTGGCTGACATCATCATGACATGCAATTTGGCGTTCAAGTTTAAAGTAGTGTTGACAAAGAGTTTCACTTCTGAGTTTCCTCATTTTGAGAGGTATTTCTGGACCATGGTTAATCAACCAAAATTCAGTAAGATAATTGGAGAAATCCAACAAACAGAAACTGTTCCTCCTATTCCTTCAGCCAAAAAACCAGAAGCCAAACCAAAATCCGAACCTAAAAAAGAAGAAGCCCCTAAGCCCAAGCCTGAACCCGAAGCTGCCCCAGAAGAGGAAGAGGCACCCAAGCCTAAGGCAAAGAATCCTCTCGATTTATTGCCTCCAAGTCCAATGGTTTTGGATGACTGGAAAAGGCTTTACTCAAACACCAAAACTAATTTTCGTGAGGTTGCAATCAAAGGTATTTTCATTTTTGACTTTTTTAAAAAAAAAAAAATATCTTCTTCTCAGACAACAGTTGGCTGATATATTTATTGATTTTGTTGCAGGTTTTTGGGACATGTATGATCCAGAGGGATACTCTCTTTGGTTTTGCAACTACAAGTACAATGATGAGAACACTGTCTCATTTGTGACAATGAACAAGGTTGGTGGATTCCTTCAGCGTATGGATCTTGCAAGGAAATATGCTTTTGGAAAGATGTTGATTATTGGAAACGAGCCTCCATTCAAGGTCAAGGGTTTGTGGCTTTTCCGTGGGACTGAAATCCCAAAATTTGTGATGGATGAGTGTTATGACATGGAGCTTTACGAGTGGACCAAGGTTGACCTTTCTGATGAGGCTCAGAAGGAGCGAGTGAATCAGATGATTGAAGATTTTGAGCCTTTTGAAGGTGAAGCTCTTTTGGATGCTAAATGCTTCAAATGAAGGGGAAATGCTGATACCTATCAACAATAAATATAATACAGTGATCAGCAAAGTTCAACATGCTAATTGTACTCCATACAGAACGCCAGATGTGGATGAAAAGCAAGTAGCAACCCTTTGAACGCTATGCAGTCAAAGTAAGAAAGCAAAATGTGAATAAAATACTATTGTAGTCCAAAAATACTCTGATGTTAATGTTACCAAGTGTAAAATGTGTGAAATATTTGAAATTTCATGTTGAAGCTGGAAAATAAGATTTTCTGTTGAACATGTTATGTACTTATGTACCATCAGCCCTAGTTGAGGTATCCGTGTTTGTTTTTGTTTAGATCTGGATTTCAAAATGTGGAAGTTGTAGGCGATGGAGATGAGGACTGAAGTTGGTTTCTTTTTCTTCTGATTGATGTTGGTCTGAGAAGATGGAGATCGGAGACTCATCGGAGATGATTAGACCTTAATAGCCGATCAAAAAAATGATATTTTTGAATATCAAAGTGAGTTTAATGGTAAATTAACTGTAATAGTCAATCAATTTGATTTTTTACTATACTTGTAAGCTTTTTTACCTAACCATAAAGACATGAAAATATTTCTTTTAGTTAGAAATTAATATGTTACATTAAATTATTTTTATATAAATATATATTTAATTTATAGTTTATATTGTTATACTAAACTGCTAACTCTTACATAATAAAACAAAATAAACTAAATATTTAAGCTATCTATTGATGGTTATTGAATATTTAATAATTATAAATAATTATAATTATTAAAATATAAAATAGTTGTGTGGAGACCATTTTCGAAAGAATATAATATTACATTGACGTATAAAGTAATTGCAAAAGGTAACGTAACCGCTGGTTGATCTAAAAAATTTCGTTGTTGGGGGCACTAGACTATATGAATGAATGGGGTAAAATGGTCATATAATAACTAGGTTGGTCGAAACTAGTGGCAAATTTAGAACAAAAAATCATGTGGTTCCATTAACGGGTTCAATCGAGACGGTTCAAAAGAAAATCGGGTTCAACCGAACCGGTTCAAGAAAAAATCAGGTTCAAAAGAGTCACTTCAACCAGAATATAATTGGTTCAACATGCATAAAAACTATGTTTTGTATTAACGATTATTTCATATTAAAATGAAACACATGATATAATTGGTTCAACATGCATAAAAACTATGTTTTGTATTAACGATTATTTCATATTAAAATGAAACACATGATATTTGCAGTCACAAAGTTGTAATCGCATTATAAAATGAAACATATGATGTTTGCTATGTCTCTTACTACAAGTATGATAACTAAATATAATTAACATTAGGATGCTTCTTATGTCTCTTATGGAGCAAACTACAAGTATGATAACTAAATATAATTAACATTAGGATCTTAATTGTTTTATAAATACTTAAATAGTAAATTAAGTAAAATCATTGTTAACCATCATTCCAATTAATATATTTACTTATTTTTTGAACCGACAAATCTAATCTACTCCTAACCTAACACATCTAATTTCATCCGTATTCACAACAAGACTTGAACCTTCGACCTTAAAAAGAAAAAGCAACACTTGATACTGCGGGCTAAAAGCCCTTCATTAATGTTTAATTAATATTATTACTTTTATATATTGATAATTATCAGAAATCCCAATTAACTTATATAAGTTATATAAGAAATCCTAATTAACTTATACTATATATTAATAGGATAACTAATTGCTATACAATAGTAAAAGTAAACCTAATTCTTAAAATATTATCATCTAACGATCAATTATCTACCACTTGCATCGTTTTTTTCTTTGTTTAGTTGTTGGTTAAGCCTAATCATTGAGGGCCTTACATGTTATCTTTTAACTTTAGCCGATTGTTACTAATGGAAATGAAGGTTGATATTGTTTTATATATATATATATATATATATATATATATATATATATATATATATATATATATATATATATAAAAGTACGTTTAGCTACATTTTAGCCATTTATAAAGATATTTGGTACCTATTTCATTTAAAATCTATTTTGTAGCCAAAATGTAGCATCCATTTTGTGAGGTAATATATTTCTTGGCTTTTTGTTTGAGCATTGATTATTTAAGTCGAAAAGAGGCTTATTATGTTGGGCATAATATGAGTACGCACGGCGTACTCATCGGACTTGGACGCGGGGGGAAGCACCTTCGTACGTTAGGTGTCACTGTGAATCAGCAAACCCTAAATTTTAGGGTTTAACCCCTATATAATCCCCAATATGAGGCTTGAGGCTGCCCCCTCATCAACCTCCTTCCCTCATTAGCCCTCCCACGAAACCCTAGCTGCCATTTGAGTGTTTTGAGTTTAGAAGTGACATTTGTTGGTGTTTTTATTGATCTTTGAAGAAGGAAGGATCTCTTGGAAGTTTCTCTTGCGGTGTTAAAGCTTGTGGATCCAAACCTTAGCCACCTTGGTCGTTCTTCATAAGGTATCAAGTCCTTACCTTAATCATTTATTTCTTAGTTCTAGAAAGTTAGGGTTTTTAGGTTGTTTTGGTCCCTTAAGAGGTTTTTGAGAGTATAAGCTACTCCAGAAGATTATGATGATAGATCCTAGTGTTTTTGATGTCCCTTGTACATAAAAATGGTTTCTTGATGGTTTAAGCTCAACCACGTAAGGGTTGAGGGTTGCTTCTGTTGGGTTTTATGTACTCTAACATCCTATGGTGCACATACAACCTTAATGCTTTAGATCTAAGTTTTCTCTAATTATACATGCAACAAAATCATCCAAAGCATGAAACCTATAACTAGCATACAAATGAAGATATACAACATAAAAACTAGTTGGAAAATTATCTCTTTGTTGTAGCTTGTAGAACTTGGCCTTTAAGAGCTTAGCACCCCAAGTGTGATGCCTCAAACAAGTCACAAAAACCATGAACAAGTGGAGAATAATGAGAGAGAGGTTTAGGAGCTCAAAATCGGCTAGGCATTAGCCTTGGGAGTACTAGTGGCCGATTTTGCAAGCTTAGGGGTTTAATTTATAGTTTGGAATTCCTAGGGTTTCAAACTTGTAAACCCTAATTCACTTGGGCTTTTAATACATTAACTCATTATCCTTATGGACTAACTCTTCATGGACTCTCACAAATATTTAGTCCAATCCTAATCAACATGGATCATTAGCCCAAACTATAAATATCACTGATTTACATAATCAGTCCCTGTAAATTTAATTAGTCTCTTTTGATCACTAAATTAATTCCAAATTAATTCTTGATTAATACTAATTAAATAATATGATTTCTCAATTAATATATTATTCTTATAATATATTAATAAATCACAAATAACCTCTTTCTCAAAATCCATCCTATCAAATTGTCCTGATGAAGGCAACCCGAAATGGACCATGCTACTCTCGGGTCAAGTACATACCAATTATAGTTATGGGCTTAGACACCTAATCCAACAGTCTCCCACTTTGATAAGTCTAATAACAATAACTGCAAGTACGACTTGAAGAAGCGACTAGCAATCGTAGCTCTCAAAAAGTCGTTGTCGAACTCTGAACAAATCAATGACGCGTCCATTAGATAAGGGATCATATATATTCCTCCATTCTACAAGATATCATATGGACTGAGACATGGATTATAATCATTCTCTCTGTCCATATGTTGTTTTCCGATTTCCGATTTATGACAACTGACTAATTGAACAAATCAAATCAGTCCAGGCTTGGCCAAGCGCTTAGGGTGTCATCACTAAATCATCAAGGGGCCCACAGATATCGCTTTTATCCCTTTTAGGGTAAAAGGAACGGATAAACATTGACTCATATGCTTGCTCTATTTACTCATCAAATCATACACAATAATACGTTTTATAACACCAAGTTACTAGTGCATTTTTATATCATCAATATGCAACCGACTTGTAAACTACAACTCACATGTGGAATATAAGATATTATCGTCTCATGATCACTCGTGATAAAATCAATGAAATGATTCAAATGAGCGTGGGTTTGATCCAATAATCAAATCTTATTACAGGAGTACTCATGAACACTGCATCAAACTTGTGCTATGTCTAAAACCTTAGACAATCTACAGTCGGATCCATGACAGTCTTACCTCATTACTTACTTCCAAAGTATAATTGACTGTGGAAGTTTGAATAACCTAGTTATTCGGGAAGTAAAACATGAAAAGTGAAACACAAGAATAATCGAATCCAATATGGTCTCAAAACTTTTTGAATATAAATAAAACACCTTTTATTTAATCACCATATTGATTACACATTATTCATTGTATAATGTTTCGATTAATCAACTTAATACTTGAATTAAAACAATAGTTATCACATGCTCCAAGCATGCACACTATCTTTATATATGGTCCTTACTTTGTGAAATAGATCAATTGAAAACATTTCAATGATGCTCATTTCACAATTCCAAATCCTTATTACTTAGTGTAAGAATACCTAATTCTTGCCACTATAAGAATGTGTTAGATTCTAAACTATCATGCAATGTATATTTTGTAATGTCGAGGTACCAAAGTCACAGAGACTTTGCCAACGATATTACAAAACTTTCCCCTAGAGATTGATAACAAAACAATTCCAAGGAAGTGAAGTCCCAAATTCAAAGTACATTCCTTTGAACATCCTTCTTACATAAAGGTTTCTAACCTACACATAGATTCATAATATCCAACTCTCATTATGGAAACATTTTCATATTTTCCATGTGACAATCCTATCTATTCATAATCATGTCAATATGGTCCATCCATTTTTATACTTCCAACTGTCCATAAGCAACCAATCTTTGGTGAACCTTGAATTGTCCTTAACAGTTGTTTAACAACTTTGGTCATATACGGTTCTGGTCCATTTTCCTTCTTAATGTCCTAGGCATTTGGAAAACTCAGAACACACAAAATATTATAGCATATGCAATCAATCCTATACCGGAAGCATATGGGACACGATTCATAATGTCTTACATAAAGACATGATACTTTACCAGTCTCTTGCTATAACATTTCCATATATAGAATTCTCTTATGTTGAATCATTTCATCATAACATTCATATATGTTCATGACTAAATTCTATTAAAATCTCAATCTAAGCTTTTAGATTTGAAATGAAGTATGATTTCCTCTCCCCTAATTATAGCAAAACAACTTTTCAAAATCTGCAACTCTGCGAATTGAAACTTTTGTTTTCTATAATTAGCATTTCTAACTCGCAACACTTAACGTAATAATTGTGCTCCCACTAGCATAATAATTACATTCTTACTAGCATAACACTTATGCTCCCACTAGCTTTGACATGTATCCAAAATCAGCTAGACTTCTAGAAATCAATACTTTATTGACTTTCTTACCAAAGTTCAGATTTCTGATACGAGATGTTTCGATAAGCCTTTATCTAAGCTCATACACCTTTTATTAGAAAACTCATATGTGTGTC